CACACACACACACACACACACACACACACACACACACACACACACACACACTGTTGAACTGTAGATCATGTTGATACAAAACTGGCACTCATCCAAACACTGTATTCGCTTCAGGGTTGGAATTTTATACTTGGTCTTTCTCCTGAGTAACTCAGTGCTGTTAAACTGAACACTGTGCACTTTGAAATGCTGACGGTGGATATTTGCTGTGTGATGGATTGTCACTGCTCTTAAGTTTGCTACCGTCTTTGCATATACCTCTAGGCTCTCTTGGTAATTTCAAGGGAGGTGAGCAGGGGGTTCCATGTTTCCTAAATATGCCGTGCTAATACTGCTGCGGCCGTGATGGTGCACATTTGACAGGCACTGTGTGTTTGTACAGCTGCCTGGGTGCTGCTGCACATCAAATCAGTTGGGTTTTCAAACGCTTTAGAACTTTGTAATGTTCTAATGTAGATTATGCTGTGTGAACAGCTGGAGTCGTCAGGAACTTGAGCTGATGCAAAGATTAACACCAGTTTTACTTTGGTTTCGTTGAAGAAAATTTGATGCCACCTAGTTTCTAATCTCAAGCAAACAGTTCTGAAAAATAATGACATTTTACTTTCATCAGGCCTAATGGACGGATAGATTTAAGTGTTATCAGCATAGTGATAACAAAACACGCATATTAATCTTTGCACCAACTAGTTGGGTGGAGCATATAAAGGCAGCAGTGATTAACACTGTTGCCTCACAGCAAGAAGGTCTTGGGTTCGATCCCCAGTTTGGACCTAAGGTCTTTCTGTGTAGAGTTTACATGTTCTCTTGCGTTTGTATGGGCCTTCTCTATTTTCCTCTCAGTCTAAAAAGCATATGTTAGTTTGCCTTCAGGCCCAGGCCTTCCTTGCAAAAGAGATCTGTGATCTCATTGGGGTTTGCCTGGTTAAATCAAGGTTAATAAATAAATAACAACAAAACAACAAGTACAGATCCCTGAGGCAAACAGCACGCCAGAGAGGAAGTACAATTGTAATCACAGTATAGAACTTTACATTTAAAAGGTAAGATGTAAACTACAAATATTGTATTCAGTAGTGTTGAAGGCAGCAAAAAAAAAAACTTTAAAACTAACATGGGAATTTCATTATAATCAAAGTTCATGAGAATATCCTTTTAAACTCTGAGGAGTGATGAAATTTTGCTTGAAACTTGCCTAATCTGTGGTTTTCTACAGTTATGTCCAGCAACTGGGGGCCCACAAACTTTTTTAACACTTTGACACAAAAGGAAAAAAAATGAGATAGGTTGGATCTAAATTTGGTTTTTGATAAGGAGTTTAATGGAAGCTAGTTTAAAAAGAATCTGGTAGAAAGGGCCTCATTAACAATGGACAGCAGAATTGGTCATTAGTATCTGCGTCGGCAGTACAACTACAACTGGCCCTTTGAGTGGTCCTCAAAGAGCCAGTTGTAATCACCTTCATTGTATCAAGTTTAACTTCGACTAAACATGAAACGCCACGGTCCTCGTCTCATTGCTACGACTGAGCACCACTAACAAATAATAACTGAGCTCTACATGGTATTTCCTGCATAGAAACGGTGTTTTAACACGTCCTCCTATAAACACTAAAAAGTACAATGTGTACGACTGACTAAATGTGAAATAAATAATACAGAAATACTATTAAAAGTAAAAGTAAAAGTTTTACTCACTGTTGGGTTGTGGTGAGCTAACACGTCGCTTGGCCAGGTACCGTCTGCATTCAGTTTTGTCGCGTCAGGTAACCCCATCGCATCAGTTATTCATGCCTGCGGCTTTTCCAGGTTGTGCCACATAGGGGTCTTTGGGTTGGGGGTCTGTGGTTAATATGAGGGATCAGGATTAATGGTTAATTTTAGGGACTGGGGTCAGGGTTACGATGTATATGGTCATTAGAAGTTCAATTTAGAGTCTGGAATGGTTAGTTGGTTGCATTTCCTACTCTTCAAAAATATGACAATGCGATCCTCCTCTTTCGTCTCATCTTGTTAATAACTGACACAAGTGGAGTACCCGATGCATCCAAAGCTGGACGCAGATGGTACCTGACCAAGTGTCAATATGTGATGAGTTGGGAGTGAGAAGGGGTTGGGTGAGCAGCTGCCGTCTTGAATTCGTAACTCTCCCACTTTCCCACAGGGAATTCCCATTGGAGGGGCATTCCAGTTTAAATTTACGTCTTGTAAGTGGGAAATTCCCGCTTTTCAGTACAACTGGGCTGCAGCAAAAGTATCGGGACAAAATGCATCTAAATGGAGATTTTACAAGGCCAATGGCTACTTTTAAACCTTGTGCACCTCCACCTATTGGTGGGAAGTCGTCACTGTGGCTCGCAGACCATGCGCCACATTTGGCACATGAGTTTGACACATGTGCATTGGTGGCACTTAAAGGGTACAATAACCTAAAAAAAGTAAATTAAGTTAATTTGTTTAATTCTGTTCAGAATTTGAGAGGCGCTTGGTGCCTATTCCAGGGGTCAATGAGCAAGAAACTTGGTGTTTATGTTCAGTGAAATGCTCCCACAGGGTTGAAAACTTCTGTTTCAGTTTTTGTTTATACCTTCCTGTATCTATTTTTGCCTTGGTCATTCTTCCCCTCAATGCTTTTCTTGTTGGTTGACTGTTTACAGTCAATAGTAAACAACAGAGATGACTCTGTCCCCCCTGTAGAGCATTGCAGTCCAAAATACATTTGTTTTATGTTTTTGTGAGGGAACCCAATATTCAAGACCAAGACACAGAGAACTAAATGCATGGATTATAGAACCAGGACTGAAAAAAAAGGACCAAACTATAGGGAGCTGATGAGGAAGCTAGGAGAATCGGTGGGCTGGATAACGTAGCTGGGCAAAACAGGCACAGGTGTGACAGACAAAATTGAAAGTAAGGCTGACTGAAGACAACTACGACAAATGAAGGGAAGAAAACAAAAAGAAATAAATGCCTGAAAAATATTACAGTTGCATAAAGAATAAACTTAAATCCAGGAAATAACAAAAAATCCAAGCTTCTGACTTATTCAGCCACAGGCAACAATGCCCACAAGTACAATATTGATTGTGTTTTGTTATTACTTTAAATTCAAGAACCAGTTTGTTCCGTGTTAAACTAAAACCACAACTATTGTTTTTGTAACATGCCTCATTAATTAGTATTTAAATGGTCACAGAAGAGTGTCACACTGTGCTGTTGGGACTCAGAACAGCAACAAACAGCTGGCGATGTCGTTCATCAATATAATCTGTGTTAAGTCCCTGAAGGCCTCAGCTTTAACAGAATTCAGTTTTTATCAAACCGCTGACATTTTGAGTTTTCTCTGACAACAGTGAGACACAGGATGCTGTGCTTGTGCAATCAAGCATTTGAAAGATAGTCAGCTATGCAGCCGATATGAAGACCTAATAAAACTGAGGCCTTACTTCTGTCAGGCACCGTGTTCTCCTCAGTGTTGCTCAAGAGACCTGAGTGTGGGAAAGGGCTGTGAGAAATGAGGAGTCGAGCTGCCAGGCAGGACTCAGATTTTTAGGAGTATCATAGCATTGATCGAGCTGCAACACGCCCATTACCTCACAGTGTTTTACATGATTCGCTCCTGGCACTGAAGAAGTGCAGGACTGTACTTGAACAATGTCTGCATTGATGCATAAAGACAAAAGCACATCTTTTGTTTCTAATGGTGTTTAAATAATCTCAGCTTGTGCCTCTGTTGTTTCAATGGAAAACCAACATTTGATGCACTTCCCTCTCCACAGTCCTCGGATTCGGTGAGTGTCAGTTCCCAGATGTCTGTGTCACAATCCCCCAAACAAAGCTTGCCATCAGGACCACAAGCCTTGATCAAGTGGGCGGAGGAACATGGCCGTGGTCCTGTAACATCCTACACCAACACGTCTGTGGCAAACCACTTTAATATCCGACTGAGAGAACCAGGTAACCCAGAGGAAAAGAATGTCATGGTCATGGTGAGCCTGTAAATCAGCCTTATGAGACTCTGTGTGACTTCCAGATGTGGTGGATCATCTGGAGAGCAGATCACTTCCTGATCTGTCCATCCTGCGCCACTCCAGCCCTCTGCTAGGAGAAGGACCTGCACCTCGGCGCTCTGCTCTGCCCTTTCCATTCCCTCTACCCTCACATGATGGTTTCCCCTCTTTGTCTGGCCCTGACCAGCTGTGGAATGATTACGAACATGAGGACCAGAGGCCCATTCTGAACGTTGAACGCAGCGTACAGTGTTTGGACAAGAAGATGGTGGTCAGCATTGACAAAAAGAGCCTGCAAGTGAGTGAACTGCATAATGTTTCCTTTCAGTGTCAGGAGCTGCCCTGAAGTTTACAGAGCTATAAACAATGTTTCAGATCAAGATTATTTTCTCTTGTAAATCAAGTCAAGCTGTAACAAGCAAGTAACAAAACGAAGGTAGAATAAATTAAATATCACTAAATTATTACTCGGGGGATGAATCTTAAGGCTTGTCTCAGTTCAGAGGGCTATAATGCCAAATAATACGTTTATCCATGCTTTTTGATCATCTGGAAACCAAATGACTGACTTTTTTACATAAATACTAATTTATATCAGTATTTTGTATAAGTTTGTCACCAAATTATTTTTTTTTATTTAAAAAAATTATATATTGTAGGGTATTTTGTTGCCATGCTTTAATCCCATATAACACAGATTTGATTTAACAAAATGGGACAATGACAGAAAATAACCAAAATTAATAACACCAAGAAAGGAAAAAGAGACAAATTAAGACCTTTAATATGTGTTTTTACAGTGACTATTAAATTATTGTTACCTTGATCTTGATATTTCAAAAATAGCAGATTTGAGTTACTATCAATCAGACAATCAGAAAATAATGGTCATGTCTCAGTATGCAAATTTAATGGTTACAAATACTACCGTTTTGGCTGTTTTCCTCGTAGTAGTTTCTTCTGTACTTTTTTTCTAAACTACTTCTGCAGACATTTGATATTTAACAATCAGCTGAATTGGGAATAATAAACTATGACATTTATTTTTTGTAAGTTTTATATATTTTCTTAAGATGTTTAACTGTATTAAAATATATTTTTAAATGTGCTTCAGCATACTTGCTCTAGTTTTTAGCCACATTTCTGCTAGGTTTTTTTTTTGCTACTTTGAGCTTTAAAATTCTATTTAGTTACTGTTGTGATAATTTTAGTATTAGCATCTGTTTTCCAACATTTACTTCCTTTTTAGCTGCTTTTAATTAGTGTGACTTGTAGCTTTTGGTTACCAGTTTATTTTTTTTTAGCTTTTGTTCTGCTCATTTTGCTTATTTTAGCCTCCGTATTGTTTCTTTTGACTTTAAATCAGTTTTAGCTTTTTTAGTAAATCTCAGCATGCTGCATTTTTGCAGGAAGTACGATTCCTGTAGTTATAATGGTTGTCTGCTTCAGAGTACAGTACGCCATCTCCTATCCATAATGTATGCGAAAGTGTGTTAGCTTTTGAAAAGTGAAATTAAAAGTGTAATAAAAAATGTCCCCACACAAGTGGACTTTCAGGCAAGCAGCATTGTTCCAAACATTTGGCGTTTAAACATGGCATTGGCTCAGTGAGCCCACATCACAGAATGGAAAATGGCAAAGTCTGTAATTAGGAGCTGAAGCTAGACCACCTTGTGGGATTTGTTTATTCCTGAGAACTCAGTTTCACACAACCATCTCAACATAGTTTTTTTCCTGATTCTTATTTTTACAGTTCTTAACATGAGTTAATAAAGGAAAAGTGTTCTGATCTTGATCCAGCGGTACCATGTTCTTGATGTTTTCTCAGGCTCAGGGTTTTACTCATGCCAACCTTACATTGCAAGACCCAGAATGCAAAGCAATCGTCAATGCCACCCACTACACATTGGAAACTCCTCTGACTGGCTGTCAGACCACCAAATTTCCTACGCCTGGTCTATCGACTCTCTATTTAAACTCTGTGAGTATATATGTCTACTGTTCCAAACTAAAAAAGCCATGGCATTTTTCCTTTTTATTTTTTAAGCTCACACTTCCAACAACATTACTAATAATTTAAACATTTTAGATAATTTGCAATAAACATTTTACTATTTAAATTGTTTTCATGCATGCTCCGTTATTCAGTAATGCTGATAAAATGTCTGCAGCATTCCCATCACATTTTTTGCAAAAAAGTTCCACTCATAGTCAAGTATCTGCTTCCACAGCAACTTTATTTCCATGAAGTACTTGTGCAGTGCATGAACTACAACTGCGTAAAAACCTTTCTAATGAATCTCCAGTATTTAAAGGGGGCTATTATGTATTTTCCAGGCACATAGTTCAGTTCCATGCCACAATCAAGCAAATGTTACCTTCAGTTGTTAAGAAAATGCTATACAGCGGGGTGCGAAAGTTTGGGCAGCCTTGTTAATCTTCCTGATTTACCTTTATAAATAATAGATTGTTTGGATTAAAAAAATCTGTTAAATTTATCATATAGGGGACAAACACAGTGATATTTGAGAAGTGAAATGAAGTTGAAATGATTTACAGAAAGTGTGCAATAATTGGTTAAACAAAATTAGGCAGGTGCATAAATTTGGGCACCATAAAAAAGCCCTCACTCAGTATTTAGTATATCCTACTTTCACAGAAATAACATTCTCTAAACACTTCCAATAGCTTCTAATGAGAGTCTGGATTGTGGCTGAAGGTATTTTAGACCATTCTTCTTTACAAAACATTTCTAGTTCATTCAGGTTTGATGGTTTCTGAGCATGGACAGCTCTCTTTAAGTGACACCACAGATTTTCAATAATATTCAGGTCTGAGATGGTAAATGGTACTGAACTTATAGAGCGCTTTTCAAGTCCCTCCAGACCCCAAAGCACTTTACACTAACAGACATTCACCCATTCACACTCACATTCACACACTGATGATGGCAAACTACATTGTAGCCACAGCTGCCCTGAGGCACACTGACAGAAGCGAAGCTGCCATGCACAGGTGCCACCAGACCCTCTGACCACCATCAGTAGGCGGGTGAAGTGTCTTGCCCAAGGACACAATGACTGAGACGGGTGGACGGGGGATCGAACCAGCGACCTTCTGGTTCCAGGACGACTCCCCTAACCACTCCGCCACAGCCGCCCCATTCCAGAGGCCATTCCAGAATGTTGTACTTGTTCCTCTGCATGAATGCCTTGGTAGATTTTGAGCAGTGTTTAGGGTGGTTGTCTTGTTGGAAGATCCAGCCCCCGGCTTCAGCAGCTTCAGCTTTGTCACTGATTCCTGGACATTGGTCTCCAGAATCTGCTGATATTGACTGGAATCCATGCGTCCCTCAACTTTAACAAGATTCCCAGTCCCTTTACTGGCCACACGGCCCCACAGCATGATGGAACCACCACCACATTCTACTGTAGGTAGCAGGTGTTTTTCTTGGAGTGTTGTGTTCTTTTCCTTCCATGCAGAACGGCCCTTGTTCTGCCCAAATAACTCTATTTTAGTTTCATCAGTCGACAGCACCTTATTCCAAAATGAAGCTGACTTGTCCAAATGGGCTTTAGCATACCTCAAGCAGCTCTGTTTGTGATGTGGGCGGAGAAAAGGCTTCCTCTGCATCACTCTCACATACAGCATCTCCTTGTGTAAAGTGCTGAATAGTTGAACGATGCACAGTGACTCCATCAGCAGCAAGATGATGTTGTAGGTCTTTGGTGCTGGTCTGTGGGTTGACTCTGACTGTTCTCAACATCCTTCACTTCTGTTTATTCCAGATTTTTCTTGGTCCACTTCAATCCTTGACTTGAACTGTGCCTGTGGTCTTCCATTTTCTCACGTTTCTCACAGTGGAGACTGAAAGCTGAAATCTCTGAGATAGCTTTCTGCTTCCTTCCCCTAAACCATGACGCTGAACAATCTTTGTTTTTATCTCATTTGAAAGTTGTTTTGAGACTCCCATGCTGTGACTCTTCAGACAAGATGCAAAGAGGAGAAAAACCTACAATTGCCCCCTTTAAATACCCTTTCTCGTAATTGGAGTCACCTGTGTATGGAGGTCAAGGGTCACTGAACTTCATAAACCAAATTTGAGTTCCAATAATTAGTTCTAAAGATTCTGAAATCATTAAAATAACAACAGTGCCCAAATTTATGCACCTGCCTAATTTTGTTTAACTAATTATTGCACACTTTCTGTAAATCATATAAACTTCATTTCACTTCTCAAATATCACTGTGTTTGTCCCTTATATTGAATATTTAACTGATTTTTTTATCCAAAATATCAATGATTTATAAAGGTAAATCAGGAAAATTAGCGAGGCTGCCTAAACTTTTGCACCCAATTGTATATAATAAAATAAATAAAATCAATACGCCTTGAATTTGGCCTTTGTCTCTTTAAGATTGTCTACCATTTCAGACACTCCCACTTCAGCATGTCTTCACAACAATATTTCAGGGGAGGGGTGCTTCATGGGGCGGGAACTCAGCTGCAGACTGAGCTCCAGGGAGGAGCTTTGTGTAAATAGGTGGGGCTTTGTTCCAGCAAGTGTTTAGGCAGCATCACATGGCCACCACAGGAGATTCAAGGATTACTCCAACATGTATGAATGAGTCAAAGCAACACTCTGGGTATGTTTTTGATGAGGGAATGACTTTATAACATGATATAAAGCTAAGCTCCCACCCCCAATGGTGAAAACAGCTCTTGAAGTTTAATCTCCAGCTGAAAAACAGAGACCCTAATGGAATTGTAGTCATACTTAGCTAACACTTTAAGATTCAGACCTTGTCAACATGAAAAGGTCATTTTTCCTACTTAAAATGACTATTTGATATTTCTGGAGGTGGATTCCTGTCTGCACAACTTGTAATGTGCACTATGCACATTAGTTTGTTGTCCACCTCCACCCACATCATACCTGCCTTGACTCTCTGTATCAACCTTGTCAGCTGCCACTGGGTTTGTGATTTAATCTGCCAGGGTACACTTTTGAAAATAAATTAGACTGATTTGGACTACTTCTTCAATAATTAATTTTAATTTTCATCTTAGTTTTCATACCCGGACATTTGCTTTGGATGTTTTCTGTTGGAGATGCCCACAGCAACTCTGCCCCTCTTCAACTTACACAAAGAAACTGAACTATGAGAACATCAAAAATCATGTTGTAGTCTTCCTCATGGATGATTTCTCCAACTATTTGCAGCTCAGTGAGATGCCCCCTTGAGTTTACAAACTCTTCTGTCCCAACTATCTTAGTGGATAAAAGAAGACAACAGTGTGACATTTTAATCTTAAATAACACAACATGAGGAGATGCTGCATTTGTTGGCTCTAAATTACTTTACAGTTTAAGTAATGTGAACACTTGTTTCATGCTGTTCAGTTTTCCCATCTGTTATTGTCAGTTATCATCTTTATAATGAATGCATTCATTCAGAGTATTTGTTCTAACAAGCAAGAATGAATCACTTCCTGTCTGGCCTCTTGAAATCTTTTGTGAGGGGAAATTTTGAACAACACTTTCTTCTGTCTGATGCGAGATTGAAAGCCTGGGCGTATCTCCAAGGTCATCTTCTGCATTGGTGCATGAATGCAGGGGTCACCTCTGACTCCTGCTCAAGAAAAAAAAAGTATTGTCAGTGCCTGGGTCCTCACAAACCAAAGATAACCAAGTTTTGGCTCTTTCCAGTTTTTCTTGTGTTGATTTGGTAGAGGCGCTAGTTCTGGATCAGCTAACATTTTGTGCCAACTTTGAACTGGCCCATTTGTCCTCTCATCCAGAAATTATTTTCTCAAATTTCTGACATGCTTCTACTTTTCTAAGAAATAACAAATGTGCTGCTGTTGCTACAGGATGTTCCCACATTTTAAGCATGAATGTTTTGCTAACCTCTCTCAAAGATTCAAACTTATGCAAGAATTCGTCAACATTGATGCTTTTAAAAAGTTTAAAATGTATTTCTATGAGTCAGGTTTTGTGAGTAACTGTTCGTCTGTGAACTACAGGTGATCGTAAGCCCTGCTGAGGCACGAAATGGGAGTGGAAGCCCAGTGGATTTCGAGGATCTGGAATCTGTAAATGGGCCATTCCCAAAAGATCTGGTGGAGCCAGAGAGGATATTAACAGAACAAAAACAGCAAGTGTCTATAATAGAGGTAAGTTAGAGCACTCGTGGTTCTCTGTCAGTGAGAGCAGCTGTAATCCAACCTGACAGGTCGGATCACTGATGAATGGACGGCTGGAAGAAACTCTTATTTCCCCTTGGTGCCAATAAATAACTGGCTCCAACATTGGTCCCAACTTTCCAATTTGTCCATTGAATGAACCCGACCTAACATCTTTCTTTAATGCAGTTTGGTATTTAATATCAAATGACTTATGTTCCATTATCTGTCCTGTTTTCATTTTCAGGTTATAGTTTGTGCAGCATCTCTTAAGGTTCTTCACAATGTTGTAATAGATTTTTACAAATTTCAGTATTATGATGAGGCAGGGAAACGTCAGTCAGGCCATTGCAGATAATATTTTTGCACGTTTTAATTTGAAAATTTCAGAACTTAATCATAAAATCAGCTCAAACATTTGGAGTCAACCTGATTCAAGGTGTCTGCCGCAGCTAAATGACCTCATAAACACAAAAAATGCTAAAACTCAGTTTATTTTACAGATCTAGATCTAAAATTTCATGTGTTAGTAGCCCCACAGATCCAACTCATATTCTGAGTGCTAACACTATTTGGACTCTGTTAGCAAAATATCTCATGAATCTGCAGATAATGTGCTAAAATGTGTTGTAGTTCGAGCTGAGTACCTTTCTGCTCATTTCAGAAGCTCACTGCTACATAAAAAGAAAATAACTCAGTCAGTTTTTCAAATATTGTGCCAAACTTTCATGTGTCATTTACAACACACATGTATCTCACATACCCTGTTTCAAGATAAGGTTTTGATCAAAACTGCTACAACTCCATCATTTGTCAACAGAAGATGGTTTTAGTTTAAGATTCTGGCATGAGAGGTAGTGGGCAATAAATTCCCCTCAAAGAAAGCTAGGACATTCTTTCTTTTAATGGGTTTGTTTTGTTCTTTTTCTAGTTCAATTGCACATACAAGATGGACAAGGGTACCACAGGACGTCCTACCAAGCTCCCTCCAGCTGTAACCAAGCCGTCCATGGACAACATGTTTTCCATGGAGCTGTACGACACGCTGCCCTACAGCCATCCTTCACGCCAGGCCTTCTACACCGTGAGCCAACAGAAGGAAGTCTTTGTGCAGGTACTCTTTTTATTTATATTACGTTGCTCTCCATGTCAGAGGTCACATTGTATGTTTTTGTTTGAAAATAAAATGTGATAAAACCTCTCTGTGTGCTTTCTCTTGGTGTTTATGCTGTCTCCGTCCATATCGTCAGTGTCTGTTTTGTTTAGTTCAAGCTAAGATGCTACTTTAACCTCTCACAGTGATTTCATCTCCTCTCTGCTGGGTTGTGTATCCTATCTGTTGGACTCAAAATATTTGATTAGCAGCAGTAATTATGTTGGTAATTTAAGAGACGGCAAAGTCCCGCTCTCTGAGGTCCTTTGAAGAGAGGATTTATGATGATATCAGCAGGAGTCGCTTCACTGAACAAAGAGCTGTCTGTGTCCGAGGCCTCTGCTGTAGCCCTCTCTGCAGGACTCACACTGCTCTGAGACCTGACCCGAGTTCACTTTGATAGTCAAAAAGAGGATCCCTCTCAGTATAAAACTGCTGTGGTAAAAAGTACACCATTCTTCGATTTTCAAGGTTTATATTACAGAACTATTAAAACTTTTTGCACCTTCTCTGCACCATCAAAGTATAATCGTCTGTATGTTCAGCAAACACATTTATGTAGTAATACTAACGTTTGTTTGAGAGAACATCAACAAACTAAACAACTGGTGTTGTTTAACGTAGCAATGTAGCTTTTCTTCACACCAGTATGTTGTTTTTGAGAAATACGGTAGTTGTTTTATAAGCCTGAGAAACAAGAAACAAGCTCATTTGGCTAGCCATTAGCCCTGCCTGAACGAAGCCGTCTTACTCTTTCTCTACTCTATGACTGATGTATGGCGGAGGAGGTACTAACGTTGATAGTTATTTCACATGTCACCACATCAAAAATGACCAGACCATCCCTTTTAATCATATTCTAAAAACGCAGTACCACTGCTGCTGCTGAAAAATAATCATCAAGTATGGCTGTAATGTTGATTCTGTTGGTTTGATGCTAATGAACTGATTGGTACATATAAGGAGAACAAGAACAGGTATGGTTGTTGCACTTGCAGCAAATTTACCAAGAGTACCAAAGTAAAAGTACTAACTGAATAAAGTCTTAGTACTTCTTTGTTATCTTATCTTTGTGAAGTATTGTTTACAGCGTGATAAATTGGAAGATACTGTTTGTGTACCTGCTTTGTTATTTTTTATCAGTGTTGACCACAGCTTGTAAAAGACTTTTGTTTTAAGCAAAGACAGCTGGTGTTTTTTGAAATATGAAATCTTACTGTGTTGTTTTAGTATTACCTACTACTATTAACTTGTGTTTTGCTACTAAGATAGTTTGGAGTTTTTCATCAGCCACAGCTGACAGCTTAAAGAGTAGAGTTTTTTTTTCTCCACACATGGTGTGGTAAAAATGGTGTGTTGTTTTTTTGTCTGTCTGCTGTTTGGTGTATATAAGTTAGTAAATGGTGTCAATATTAAAAAGGGGAGTTATTGTTTTATTGGTTTGCTTCTCGGGAAACAGCTGTAGATCGGATTGAACTTGACCATTAAACAAGACTGACGAGTCAAAATTAACAAAGGGCTTTAGAAATTTAGTTAAATGAGTTGTTTGCTACAAGTTATTGCCATATTTCACAATCTAGTTATAAAATATAGCATTATTTAAAAAAACACCTAGTCTTCTAGTTCATAAATAGTCAGTAAATGAGTGTGGTCCATTATTTCTTTGCTGTAACAATGCTTCTTGACAATAAATCTTATAGTGTTAAAAAATTTGTTCATTTTGTTTTTTAAATGGTGCCACATTTGTAAGGAACATGCATTTGTGGGATGAGCAGTACAACTGAATTTGTGGGTAGTTCATATGAAAATTTTACCAAATCTTCTCTGTCAAACAGTTAATTTTGCTGTTATTGACACTTGTTTTGAGCTGCTGGTACCTCCAGGTGCTGCCGATCAAGTGTCTGGTAAAGAAATTTATTGTCAAGAAACTTTGTAACAATAAAGAAATAATTTACAAACTTGTTATGCTAAGTTTTTATGTTTTAAGGAATAGTTAATGCTATAAAAGATTGACTGTAAGTTGAAGGTTCAGATAAGGGCCTTTGCTGCCTTGCAGAACAAAAAAAATAACAACTTGTGCAGGACAAAGGCACTATACTAAATTTTTTCAATACACTCTGTTTTTAAAGTGCTAAATTAACTGTATTACCCTTTCCCAGTAAGATAGATGGAATATGAAATATACAAAGTTTAGGAATAAATACTTTCTTTCACATTTCAAATGCGTTTGAAAAAAAAACATCATTATATTCTCATTTAATGCTTGCGTTGAATAATTTTCTCATCTTTTATGATGTTCGGCTTCAGGACTTAAAGAGGTTTGTCGTGACAGAGAAAAAGAGTATTTACTAGAAAAGTCTAAAACCTTATTTTATTTTCTCTTATGCACAACAGATTGCATCAACCGTGTCCGACCCGGACGTTGGGCTCACCATCATGTCGTGCTTCATTTCTCCCAACTCTAACCCCAGCGTGCCCTCAGACTACAAGCTCATTCAGAACATTTGCCCCCTGAATGACTCTGTCCAGGAACTGCAGAAGGATTTCTCTCTTGGGGGAAAGGTGGAGAAGAAAATGTTTAAGTTCATCTTTAACTCAGAGTTCAACGTGAAGCATCTTTTTCTACACTGTGAGACGTCTCTGTGCTCCAAGAACACTCAGAACCGAGATCTGCCACAGGTATGGAAATTTAAATGTAGATGTAAATGTAGAATTTTAATGTCATAAAGGATCATAATTTTTTATATGTGTAGTTTTGGTTAGATTTGACAAACAGCAAATTCTAGACTGTAAAAACCCATAATCTTTGCTTTTTCCATCTGAAAGAACTGTTTTGTTGTCAGTTTATTTTTTTAATTAACGCTCACATTTCATCTAATCCTGTTGGCAGTGTCTGACCTGTGACTCAGTTTCTTTGGACAAACTTGTGCCACTGATGATGAACATCAAGGTGTTGACAAAGCCACTGGTTGTGGTGGATGATTCACACACTACAGGTTTGTGAGAAGAAAACCAATCGCCTTTTTAAATGTCATAAAATCTGCTCAACCTCTGATTCAGACAGCAGTAATGATGTACATCAAATATAGCTAGTGTGAGGAGTTTGCACTGATTGTGCGACAGATTGCAGTTGTAGATTAATTGTACATTTTTCCTACAGAGAAAACAAACGTGAAATTCTCTACTGAGTTTTAGTGAAAGTAACTCGACAATCAACAGTTGCAGATGTACTGTAAATCCAAATGTTACTTTATGAAAGCTCTGTTCAGTGATTTATGAAATATTTTCCAAACACAAAGACCTGGACATGAACACCTTTCACCTTCAGCCACAGGTAATGATTAGGCCCAGGGTGTGAACAAAAAATAAATAAAAAATAAAGATGTGGTATGAAAGCAGAGGTGAGGAAAACACTGACCAGATTAGTCCTAATCACAACATAATATCACTTTATTACATCTGGTCATAATTACCTTCAGTGTGTGTTTATTTTGACATTTGTACAGACGTGTGTGTGTGTGTGTGTGTGTGTGTGTGTGTGTGTGTTTTTTTTCCTACATCGTGGGGCCCAGTTTTAAGGAAAATGCAGCCTCGTGGGGTCCAGGTGCTTGGGCCCCACAACTTCAGAGGCTGATTTTGGGTGTGAGGGTTTGGTTTAGGACCAAGGTGTGAATTGAGTTTAGGTTAGTTTTAGGGTCAGGTAGGTACCTGTGAGATTAGGGTTAGGGTTTGTGGTCAGCGTTTGGAAATAAAATTACCAAAAAAGGAATGGAAGTCAATGGACGGGCCCCACAAGGATATAAAAACAAGCTTGTGTGTATGTGTATGTTTGTGTGTGTGTGTGGTAGCGTATTGTTGACTGCAGTAAAGTGGAGTGTTCTAACGCTCAGAGCCAGTTCTGGATGTGGCCCAGCTGAGGGAGATGTGGAAAAAGAAGACTCATACAGACTGAGCACCAGTTGTTTTCACTTAGACCTTTCAATGTGGCCTCCCTTTTCCACTAGAGTGGGGAGCGGGGGAGTGGGGGGGAGTGCGGTGGATCCCTCATTGGGTTTGAGAGGCTAGCCAGAACCTAGAGACCCCCTCAGTCAGGTTTGGTGTTGCTGGTCTTTGTGTGTTTCAGCATCTCAGGGACTATAGGCGTGACCCGAGGTGGGATCACGAGTTAACCAGAATCACAATGTTGTAATAATGACCTAAACTTAGATGGGCTGATATCATCAGTGCCTGACCTCCAGGTTTTTTATTTTCCAAATTATCATGCCTCCTGAGCAATGACTTCAACAAAGAGAACTGTGGCCAACATGAGTCAACTTGCTCATTATTTGATTCTTATTTCCTCATTTTCATCAGCAGCTTTGTAAAATCAGATTTAATAATCACCCACCACTGAAAGGTGATAGTGTTTGTACCTTTATCTCTTTGCAGGTGTCTGTTTTCAAAATGCTGTACTAGCCATTGCGTACCCATGAACCACTGGACAGATTTTAGTAAAACTCTCAGACAGTAATCACTTATCCCCTAAACAACACATTAACTTTGAAGTCAACCCAAATCACGCTAGCCACCAGTTAATCAAAATTATCCTTTAAAGGGATCCATGATTAGGTGTAATATTAGACTTTATTTGATAAACATATATTTTAACTGTAAAATAAATACTGTAAAAATACTGTAGGATGTTCAGTTTTTATAATTTTTAAACTAAAAGTTAAAAAAGATATTACAAAGACTTAGCCATTTTATTTACACGCAAAGCATTCTGGGTAAATGATGATGTGGATAGGTCATCGATGCGAGGCTGCTAGCGAGCTATATCCACCCTGAAGGTTAATCTTGGACAATATCTGATGATCGACTCTTTTAAATGAAACCAGAGAGCGTTGACAGAGAGGAGAAGGTAGAAATGACTCAGCCTGTAACTGAAAATATGGATGGAGGACCTCAGTTTAGCTTGTTAGTTTGTCGCGCTAGCGCCGAGCAAATACATATAAGTCAATATAGCGGTGGCGCTAAAGCGAAGGCTAACAGGCTAAGCTGAGGTTCTTCTTCCATGAAGCAGCTCTCTCGTCCTCCATCCATATTTTCAGTTCCAGGCTGAGTCATTTCTACCTTCTCCTCTCTGTCAACGCTCTCTGGTTTCATTTAAAAGAGTCGATCATCAGATATTGTCCAAGATTAACCTTCAGGGTGGATATAGCTCGCTAGCAGCCTCGCACCGAGGACCTATCCACGTCATCATTTAGCCAGAATGCATTGCATGTAAATAAAATGGCTCCGTCCGTGTTAAAACATATTTTTAAAAAATTACAAAACTAAACAGCCTACAGTATTTTACAGTCTTTATTTTACAGTTAGTATAAATGTTTATCAAATAAAGTCTAATGTTACAACTAATCGTGGATCCCTTTAATCGTTTAGATAAACAGATATTAGGTTACAAAACTGAGTACACCCCTCACATTTTTGTAAATATTTTATTATATCTTTTCATGGGACAACACTGATGACATGACACTTTGCTATACAAGCTGCACACTGACTACTTGACTTTGTGTCAGTGTGTATTTGCTGTCCCCTCAAAATAACAAAACTCACAGCCATTAATGTGTAAACCTCTTGCAACGGAAGTGAGGGGTGTACACACATTTATGAGATAGCTACTACCACACCAAGGTTTGCACCGAGAGTCCTTCTCGACACATATTGTGAGATCACACATAACGTCATTCACAAGGTTTGACCAACACAACTTGAATTATGTTTAAAACTGTCATGAAAGTTGGGAATCAATATGAATTCTTTCAAGGAATGCTAGGCTTTTAATTTGATATCTGTTTCCTCATTTTCATTGGCCGGATTAATAAATTAAATTTCATCTCTGCTGATAATGGTTCGTTTAAGGATATCGTAGATGTGTCAGGAAGTTTACATTTTATCACACCCAACAGTGTTTATGCTGAAGGTGTTAGTGAACCATGAAACTAAAGTATTCATTGAAGCTGAGCACATCTACTTTCCACCACTGCAGCAGTGCAGCCAGGCTCGTTTTCTGCAGAGTACAGTGTGTAAACAAATACGCTGAGATGTGCTGAAACTGAAAACATAAGAGGGTTTTTCAGAGACCTCAAATCAAAAGAGGAGCACTTGTGTCCAACCTAGAGAGTGGAAAAACACAAGTGTCTTCAAAGCTCTGACGTCAGAATTACTCGTGTTGCTCAACAACATCGCTGAATTATTATTTGCTCTTTTATGACTCTGATAACATTTAGAGAAAGTGTGTTTTTATCTGGGAGGTTTGGCAGATTAGTCATGGGAAAACAAAGTATCTCATCTAAAAGGTTTCAGTTAAGATAACTGTAACCTCTGATGAACAACACATGACATTATAAAGCATTCATACAATTTAGAACTTTTTTTTCTTCTGTATGTTTTTCTGCAACTAATTCGTTCAGCAATTTTTGTGCTATTTCAACAGTTCATATATCAAAACATTCAGCTCCTTCAAGACTCTCCGGCTATGACTTTTGGTATTTTAGCAATTTATACTTTTTGAGATATTTAGCTTTTTCTGCCATGTTTTTCCCCACTGAAAATGAAAGAAATGGGCTTTAACATCTTTAAAACCCTTCTTAATGTTCATAAATCTTTACTGAACTTGTTCTGGTCCTGCTTTGCTAATTTCAGCTTCTTTTGGCTTCTATTTTGCTGATTTTAGTTGTTTTCTGCCATATTAGCTATCATTTTTGACCTGTTATTCTTCTGCTAATTTCAGTTTTTTTGTGCTTCTTTTAGCTGATTTCTGTGTTTTTAGCTACTTTTTATCTAATTTGAGCTTTTTTTAAGCTAAACTCACCTTTTTGTGATAAATTCAGCTTCTTAGTGCTTTAAGAAGCAAATGTGCTCTTCCTGTTTCTTTGGACTATTTTCAGCTACTTTTTTTTAGCTATTTTTAGGCTACTTATGCTTTCTGTTTTGGTATTCAGCAAACATTTTTCAACATTAAGTGTTCGTGTTGCATTTTTGCAGGAAATGCAAATTCTCTAGTTATATGAAAACTGACCCAAACTGCAGAAACAGTATGTGGAAGGAGGTCCTTTAGATGAATCGATATTTTTACAGAGCAGCAGGCTGCTACTTTCTCCTCTAATTCCTTAGAAAGAAATAAGGTTATTGATTATTTGCACATTCCTTTTTTACCAAAAGTTTAAAATCATTTCAGTCTAGCAAATAATTTGGTTAGTTTAAGTTAGGTTAGGTTAGGTTAGGTTAGGTTAGGTTAGGTTAGGTTAGGTTAGGTTAGGTTAGGCTAGGTTAGGTTAGGTTAGGTTAGGTTAGGTTAGGCTNGGTTAGGTTAGGTTAGGTTAGGTTAGGTTAGGTTAGGCTAGGTTAGGTTAGGTTAGGTTAGGTTAGGTTAGGCTAGGCTAGGTTAATTATGTCGTTTGACACTCTGAAATTGAGGAATGGAGAGAACATTGTTTTGTTCAAAATGACATGTTTTTTGTTTCTGTAAGATTTGTTGGACAACTTTTAGTTGACTCAGACTATAAATCTTGTCTAAAACTGGCATAGTTTAATTTTTTTTGCTAAACACCTTGTTACACATCAACAGGTAAAAACTCTGATAAACTTAAAACTTGAACTTAAAAAAGTTAGCTTTAGCTAGTTGAATTGATATGCTAATGTTAGCTTGCTCCAGACTGGTTATTTGAGTTGCCGTTCATTTTAAATTGTTTATAGGTATTCAGATGTTCTTCTGCAATTAACTTTGTGTTTTGTATTAAATCTCCTATTTTGTTGACTGCAAATGTCAAATGTTTAATAAACATAACCGTTAAGAAAAATTCACATACATTTTGCAACGTCACGCGACATAGTACTTAACATTTTTCATGTCCAGTTTTTCCTGTCTGTTTGGCATTAATCATCTGGTGGTACAACAGACAAAACACACCGTTTTGGTAATTATATAACCTCTCTGCTTTAGCAGATTGTCAACACATTCTTACTCTTCATCCTCTAATGTCATCCTATCACCACCTGTAGTCAGGACCAAGTTTCCATCTTCATTTGAAGAAAACATTACAAACTCCTGTCTTGGCCTCAGTCTTTTATGCTGTGGCTTCTCTCTGGAGTCCTGGCACAACAAGTGGCCTGGGACAGTGTGGTGGGTGGCAGAGAGATGTCTTCTGTCCCTCACCCTGAAATCAAAGATTTCTCAGACGACCTGTCATCATTCATCTGGCGAGATGAAAACCGAAAGGTGTTCTTTCCAGGAATAGCAGCCACTGTGCTCGAGCCCCGGGTACATACCAGCTTTGACGTTTTAGTTCAGCCACACACAGGCATGCTTGTGTCGTTAGTAAAGACATCATTACAGCCAAGTTCACTTTTGAAAGCCTTTCAGGTGGCTCTAAATAAAATTGAGAGCAGAACTCAGTCAGGTCATCTGTGGGGATACTGCTCTCTGAGCATTTCTCCTGCTCATGTTTCTGGATCACATTCCACAGAACTTATCTGCACAATGCAGCATTAGTCATGAGCTGCTCTCTTTTGGCATGTGGCTGACGGGGCGACTCCAAGCATGTGTTGTTTTACCTTTAATATGTCGTGAGTTACAATGCGTGTACGTGCATACATAATAATAAGCATACATTAATTTGTACTCTGCTGGTATTTTCTTTTCCAGACTCAAAACCTGAAACCCCACAGGAACCTAAAAATGACGGTAAGAGGATATAACTGTGTATTTGTTTAAACATGATCCTGTTTGTCAACATATAAAACTAAACTTTGTAATGCTGTGCTTTCCAGGAAGCATGTATCTGCTGGACACTCCCACAGTAATGGGGATCGCTTTTGCAGCCTTCGTCATCGGGGTTCTGCTGACTGGAGCCCTGTGGTTCATCTACTCACACACAGGTAGGTCCTTCACCTGTTGCTTCAGAGTGCCTTTCAGCGATACTGAAGCAGAGGAATGTCCCAGTGTTTCAGGCCAAACATCCTGTGGCTGATAGAGGCTGGTTCATAATAACATATCGCCTCTTTTACTGTAAATATATCCTGTTGGTCAGCAGCAAGGGCTCTTCTCTTTCCTGTCTTTGAAAGTTTCTTGAGCTGCAAATGGTCAGCAAATATTTGCAGCACAATGGCTGGAGATGAGTTGGAAATCCCCCTCGTTGGGTTTAGAGGGTGCTCACAGGAAAAGACACACAATCTGTCCATTAGATGCCAAGACCTTCTCCATCTTCCCCGGCCCTCGCTGACCCCTGAGAGGAAGTGTGCTCCCAGCCGCCCACTAAGTTCACTGGTGCATAGAGCTGCCCTGTTCTGTTAGCCTTTGACTGTTGACCTGCTGCACCGTGGCAAATATGTTCTTCAAGGACATCGATCATACAGAGAACGTTCGGAGCAATCCAAGTGTGAAGTTTAAGTTTCTAAGTGGGAAAAGACCTCACTGTTTGACAGAGTTAAATGATGGCATTAAACAAGCGTGTAACTGAGCAAATATCCAGGCACATATCAAAATGATTAGAGCACAAAAAGTCTTCTAGTTCTGCTTTGTCACATTTGTAAGTGTTTTCTGGGCAGGATGTCCTGCAGAAGTAAGAATCAGCTGTAATATGTTAAGGCCTTATCTTTAACCAAATATTTTCTTTGGCTTGTCTTTAAAAATCCACTTTATATCAGCTTTGTGGATTTCCAAGTTAGTGACCAATGAAGAAACACAATACTTCTAACTGGCTGGTTGTCCAAAGGTAGGAGATATCAGATCTGAACACGTGTTAAAAAAGGTAGATATGGAACAATATGCACGGCCGGGCTTGGACTTGAAAAGGCACGTTTCTGTTGATTTTAGGAAAACGGGCCTTACGGTGCTTCACATGGTTGTTAAGCTGTGTTGGCTGAAATTGCCTTATACGGCAGCTTTGCACTAAACTCCAAGAATGCAGATTACACTAAACAACAACCCAAAATATCACTTCAGAGTGTATTTTAAAACTGGTGTCCAGAGATCTGAAATAAGAAAACAATTTGGATTTATTCCCCTGACATTTAAAGACCTTTTATATTTTGTTTCCCTTTTAGTTTGAAGTATTAAGGCTGCGGCTACAGAAACATTGACGCACCTTATTACTATCGTGGTAAAAACTTTTGTTGTGGATCTCGGTGTGTAGCTTTTGAATAAAACCAATTAAAACACCCAAACCTGCAGTCCTTATAATAGTGTGTTATGACCTTTGATATCATCGGTATGTTGCACCATGTAGACAAACGTTTTATAAAAACCTCTGTGTACTTCACAGACGAAACATCGTTCAAAGTTTTATCTGGTCACAGAAAGAAGGACTTTACATATCTGAAATGGCAGATTGATATTTTTTATAGCGTTTAATAAATCAAAGTTTAGGTTTTATTGATTTTTTTTGTTACAAAATGTTCAACATTTATGTCCCACTAACTTTTGAGATGTCTGAAATTTACAAGCTTTTTGAAAACAACTCTTGTCACTCTCAACTCTTTTTAGTACATAAACAAATTAAAGAGAAACTTTTATGCAAAATTCACTTTTTAAAGTTTTTTTTTACTCAACTTTGGGTATGTACTTGTTAAAAAAACAGTCCAAGGACCAAAAAAAAAAAGCACCCAGGTGCATATTTACTTTAAGTAAATGTATTTTTAATGTATTTTAATGACAAGTTTTATACTTCCGTCATTTTGTGATGTCACAAGCCGTATGACAACCCACCGGAACCTGCGTTCAGCCCCTTACCTAGCAACCCCCAGGTGAAACTCCACCTCCTCAGTATAAAAAGCCATCACTGTGTTGTTGTGCAATGCGCAGCTCTTTAAATAACATGCCTCCAATAGGGCAATGGGTAGAGTGTTGGACCAGAGAGTGAGAGACCAGGGTTCGAGACTGGTGTGGACACATGCAATTTAATTATTTATTTTCATTCGTTATGAACAAGTTTTCTCATGCACCTCTATTGTTTAGCTTATTAAAGCCTTGTTAAAGCCCATTTGTTCGGGTTTCTGAGGTATTTTGACCGCTGCTGCTCCCTGCTCTGGTAACAGCATGCAGAGTGAGCGCAGAGCAGAGGAGGGAGAAAAAAAAAGAAGCTGCGACCACGACTCTGCCTCTGGGTCTCATATGGTTGTACAACAGAGCTTCTGCTATCATTAGCCATGCTAACGTAAATGCTGGCTTTGGAGGGCGGAGTTAATGTCAACAGATTTTTGGAAGGCGTTACCAACAGAGCTCATTAACATAAACAGCTCTTCTGAARGGAAGTCAGAGCAGGCAGAACTAGAAAATGGGAAATTTTATTATCTGAGAATTATTTTGTACATTAAATTGAATGAACATGGTCTGGATAGCCCACAGACATACCATAAAAATTTCTAGGACCCATAATTGGTCTCCTTTAAACATAAAAGTGTAGGTATTTTCATATTTTTTTTTCAATCTGGTGAGTCTCTCCCTGTTATGGGATTTGATTTTTGGATAGTAACTGAAGGAAGGGGTGTTTTTATTCCAGTTTATTTCTCTACCAGGCAAAAAGTGTAGGTCATTTTAACACCAACATGTTTTCTGGACTTTTGCTTCTCTTGACTCATGCAGCTCATTTGTGATGAGTCACGTCTAACAAGAAACTTGTTCACCTCTGCTCCTTTAGACCAGTAATGTACAATCACCAAAAATGTTATTTTAAAACAAAACTCAGAAATAACTATCTACAGAACACCAAAACCTCTGACCTGATTCACTGACTGCACCACCTGTTTTATTCTTTACTTAGTTGCGCTTCATACAGTATGCACCTGCGATCTGCTTCGTCTTTGTATGATATTCACAAAGCAAATAGCAAAGATTGTGTGTTAGCACAAACACGCCCATCAGGTTTTGTAGGTGTGACCAATTTGCTGTCTTTTTGCATCAGATTGTGGTTGTTAGAATCTAAAAATGGCTGACACAAACAGGAAGAGTGAGCTTCAGGTCTGAATGGATGAAGTAGAGTGACTCATTAAAGCTGCAGGAATATCTTCATGTAGGAGGAATCACTTTCAGGAGGGGATTTCTTTGCTTTTGTTTTATCTACACTGCAGTATCATTTCACCCTTTATTTTGAGTGTAACGGTTGGTGGTTTCTGTCTTTATCTGCAAGATCTTTGATCTTCTGTTGCTCTGAAGGTGAGTGGGTCGTATGTTAACAATAAAGCCTGTGACATTATTAATTTGTTATTTACTTGTTAACTTCAGGATAAGTCCTGGTGTCCTATGAGAGACATTACAGGCTAAACATTAGCAGAACCGTGGGGTCTATAGGAGTCGGGGATGTGTTTAATGATCTATGAACATCTGCCGTATAAGAAAGCACTTCATGTAACACAGCTTCAGACTTAATCAGTATCATTTTAAAATATGTAAGAGAAAATTGGTTCTCCAATGACTCGATGGGAAAGATATAGAGCGAAGAGACGACTGCAGCAATATTCGGGCCAAAAACTCAAATTAAATACAGACGTGTCTTTATTTCAAAACTGCGTCAGTGTCTGTAAGAGACACGTTTTGAAACCAGCACTTTTATTCGTCCTTTATTCAAGCTTTGAATGAAGAAATGTTATGGCATGAGATGCTTTTAACAAGGATAAACCAGCCGTTTGGGATCCACTGAGAACGTGTCCCATGTTGCCTGTTCTGCTTTATCAGCTGAAGATGCATTAATTGATTCCAGATAACAAAGGATGCAGAGTTCAGTGAACAGAGAGACGTCTTTCCCAACATCATCTGTCAAATAAGATACAACAGCTTTATTGACCCGGCAGCTGACAACAATCTGAGACTAACAGTGTAAACGTCGAGTCAGCATTCACACTAATGACTTCCTGTTTATGGTTTCTTCCATATGTTTTTTTGACTAAATATACATTTAGCTGATTTAACTATTCGTATATCAAAATGTTCAGCTCAGTGACATGTGGCTTTTGTAACTTATTCTCCTTTTGTACTCCTTGAAATCTACTTAAGAAAACCTTTATGTTTAACGTTTAGCTATTGTTTAGCTAATTTTAGCTTTTAGCTAACTTTATGCTAATTTTTGCATTTAGACACTGTTTCATAGTTTTAGCTTTTAGCTACCATTTTTCTGGTCTTAGCTTTTAGCTTGATTCACTGCTCTTACTTTATAATAGCCACTTTACTCATTTTAATTTTAGCTTTTATTTTGATAATTTTGCTTTTAGCTCAATCAATTTAGTTTCAGTTTCTTCAACAAAGATATTCAGCATTCACTGCACTAAAATATTCAGTTATTTTTAAACAAGTCATGGTGGTGAAGGGTTATATTGTTTTGCACACTAGTGCTTTGCACCCGAGGAAATAAATCCTAACGCAACTTTGTCCTAATCTCAGAGGACAGCTCAGGAAAATCAAAAATGATGGAAAATGCGAGCTTAAGATGGAAACAGTGCACATTTGGGTGAAGATAAATGCTGAACACTCCAGGCTTGAAACTGGAAAATGAATAGTTTTAACCAAGACACTTTGTCATGTTCCTCCCTAAGACTAAACTCAATCCATTTTCTCTTCCTGTCTTTGCTCCAACCTTCTCCCCCTCCTCCTCCTGTTCTTTGTCCAGGTGGGACAGCTGATTCACAGCCGGTCCAGAAGCCTCAGCCTGTGTCAGAACACAGCAGTGCAGCTCCCAGCATCGGCAGCACGCAGAGCACGCCATGCTCCAGCAGCAGCACGGCGTAGCCCACGACTCCACGCCGCAGGACGCACACAGCCGCGCTGCTGCACAGGACGGGCCAACTGTCCACGCTGACGGGTTGTTTACCTTTTAAAGGTACGACTCCGAAAATATCAACACCTTCAGTCCTCGGTGCCACCCTGTGTGCAGAGAGAAGTGCTGTCCTGCAGTTATTGCTGTACCGCCTCGGAGGCACGAGCAAGCTGCCTCGCCTCATGTCTGATAAACAAATCACAAGAATGAGATGAATGTTTTTATCAGGATTTTTTATTTTTATTTTCTTTTTAAATCCAAATGCTGCTTTTCTGATGGCATCGTTTGTTTTGGCCTTTAATCGAAGTTGTACCCGGCAGGTGTAGCCTGCCGAGATTAGAAAGTGATGGCTGGACCGTAACACGTTACTTTAAACAGACGCGTGGCAGAAAGTAGCACAGGAGCGAAACAACCACTATCGACATGCAGACAAATGTGCAGTATGAACACAAGTCAGCGTTGTGACGAAGACGAACGAGGAGTTTAGACAGTGGAAGAGTTGAATGTAGATGAGAAGAGCAAACACCAAAAAAATGTGAAAGAAAAATGTGAAAGACATGCAGACAAAATATCTTTTAGAATAATCTGAATTAAATTCTTTTTATAACACATTTCAGTTTTCACAGCCAGTATAACACATTTGAGTTTTTATACGTTCTTTAGTTTCTGCTCAAAATTAAGATAAAAATGCTCATTTGTTTATTATTTACACACTATTTCAAAAGATTGCCGCTACTCTTGTGTCTGTGTGTATTACAGACTGAGCTGGAGTCACTGTGTCCGCATCATAACTGTAGGTGGAAGCAACTGATTCAAAAAATGTTTAGTAGTTTACAAAGACAAAAAAACACAAATTACATCTAAACTAAAACAACAAACTTTCATTCCAATTATTATCGCCTATTTTGTGAGGCTAAACAGAAGCATTTTAATTGGTTATTACTAGTAGCATCTCAGGAGACAGAAAGATTTGAACACTTTGCCACAAACTCAACTGATAGGCCTCGCTCCTGTCTGTTTGTCTCTTCAGGCCTTAAAATGAATCTGAACATGTGCTACTAACTTTACATTAAAGCACCTGTGACATGCATATCATTCAAATACTAAAAGTCAAAGAAAACATCTTTATAATTAGGAAACAACGTAATACACAATTCTGACAACTGTCATATTTTCTTTTGAACTTGGCTCAGCAAAAGTGAAACAGGAAGTGACATCAAAGGGGAAATTTTTTTAAAAAAGAAACTCTGGTCTTTATGAGCTTTATGAAAGTTATCTTTCAAAAACGGCATTCATATTTGTTTAAAAAAGATATTGTCACAGGCACTTTAAAGCTGTGTGACCTTGGAACTAAAGAAGAATATGAATGGTCACCTTTTTTATAAACAAAATGTGTTTTTTGTCAGAATAATATTTCAAAATGTTTTCTTTTTATCACCGAGAACAAACCGTGTACTGACTAAAACTTTTATTCATTTAATTCCTTTTAAAACCTTTTGACTGTTTTCAATAAAAACATGTTACCACAGACCATGAAATAAGATTTAAAAAGCCCTGAATGAAAATTGTTTTTCTCAGTAAACAGTCACTTCCACCCCACATCCAAGTTTGAATAAGTCTTTTCCTCTCAACAAAATGGATTAACGAGCGTTTCAGACTGGATTTTCTCAGCTTCAAAGTCAACAAATAACTGTGTGAATTTGGCATAAAGTCAGTTGCGTTTACAAAAAGGGCAGCGGCCCATATCTGCAGAGGCGAGGTCCAATTTGACGTGGTGGTGTGACATCTTTTCACCAGAGGACATAGTGAGACATGGGTTTTTCTGCTTGTTTTTACATTTATGAGTCAGTTTTCAGCTTAACGAGAAAACTTGTGATGTTTTAGTCAGATCTTGGTCAACCTCTTACACTAAGCTGAGTCTTAAGTGCCTGTAACATCAGGTCTTCATGATAAATATGAATGTGTTACTGGAAAGATAACATTGATAACAAACTGTAACAACAATTTCAAGACCCTGAGTTGAACAGTTGTTAAGATAAATGCTCATAAATGTCACTGAAAAGCAGAAGTGCATCAAAACTAAACATTTACTTCATTACAGTACTTAAGTAATTTTTGAGGACTTGTAATTTTACCAAGTAAATCTTAACCTTTAAAATGTATAAATGAAACTTTTACTTTTTAACTTTAAAATTTAACAGCTAGTTGTACGTTAGAAATTTAAATATGACTGAACTCATCATGAAAAGAGTTGTAAAAAGTTCCTGATTGTCGTGAGCAGTTTAATGACATTTACTTAAGTACTTTTCTTATCAGCAAGATTCATTTTGACCAAAGTAATTTTCTGTTAAAGGGATCCCTGATTAGTTGTAACATTAGACTTTATTTGATAAACAAATGTTTTAACTGTAAAATAAAGACAGTAAAAATACTGTAGGC